AAAAAAAAAAAAAAAAAAACCAAAACAGAAACTTCAGTGCTCCATACGTATGCTATAACTATCCAACTCTTGGGGAAGATCAAAGTTTTCATCCACTTAATTTCTATTTCACTCTAGATTTCACAGGATTTTATTTTACTCCATCAGATTCAGCTTAAAAATAGCCTCGTACTTTCGTATATAAAAATAAAAATTAAATTAAATTAAAAAACACACTCACACACAAATCAGCACACGATCTATCAGACAGGCAAAATCTAATGCCTAATACTAAGCATAACAGCAGGCAAAACGAAGGACAAAGCAAAATAAAAAACACGAAACCCACAATCAAGAAATAAATAGGCTTTCATCAAATCAAGAGCTCCACCAAGGCCTTACCTTAAAAACCACACAATTACCAGTTTCATGGTAACACAAAATAACAAACCACATGCAAATTTCAGGAATTTCTTATGTATTCTCACCAAGCAAAATCATAAGATGTATAGACAAAATCGTACTATCCTACTACGATCATCACCTAGGTAACCACAAAACCCAACAAACCGAAACTTGCAGAAAACATGAACAAAAAAAATTGAAAAGTCTCAAAAACCAAACAATTCTTGAGCACAAAGCATAAAGCAAGAAACTCACGATTCCCCGCGAGACGAACTAAAGGGACGTTTAAATTGAGGACCGGAATAAACATCGTCCCGTATTCGCTTCATACTGCAAACAAAACCAAAATAAATAAATAAATAATAATTAATTCCTCTGAAAAAGAACAAGCTTTGAAGCAACCCAAATAAGAAGACATAAAAAGGAGAAAAACCCATATCATAAATTGGGTAAAGCAAACCCCAATTGCGTTTGAAACAGATCTTACATGAGACAAAGAGATGGGAGAGAAAGAAGCGAAACAGCAAGCTTTTTGATCTCCTCAGAAGGGAGAACCCAAGTAGTTTGTGTGTTTGGTTCTTGTGAGTTTAGGCGACTTAGGTGTGCGTAAATCGGAGGAGAATTGCAGAGCTAAAAGGCAGGGATGAATTTTGGTGAAGGGAGTTGGTACGTTAGGAGTAATATTCCCAGCGAGCCAAAATCTGAAGAAGAGATGAATTCTGTTGTGTTTGGGGGTTTTTGTATGCCTTCTCTTCTCAATTTGGAAAGACAAAATATGAATTTTTCATATTTTTATTTCATTTCTGACGGTGGGCTTAGGTTTCTTTCTTCCTAGTCCAAGCCACCAGCCCAAGGTTTTTTCAACAAAAAAAAAAAAAAAAAAACC